ATTGACAAATATTCTTACCGTGAGCAGGGGCAAAGGTGTGAGGGACAAACACACACACACCACGGCAGTTAATGTCATGATGGTAGTGGTGAGTTTGTGATTGAGAGATGGGGGGGGGGGGACAAGCAAAACACGGCATCATGTGAGAGAGGCACGGCACACAACATGGGAGTTTTGTCATATTGACTACTACAGCCCATATTGAGACACTTTAGTTTTCGTAAGAGTTTAACGGCACTTGCAACACAATAAGGTCATATAAGTGCCAAAGATTAGAGGTGTTACAAGAGAGTAACAAACACAAAATAGGAGGAGGGGAGATGGAGACGATAGTTTTTTTATAGGAAAGAAGGAGAAAACCACACCAGAGCACCTGCCAACCACCCACATTGAGACACAGAGGTGGGAGACTGGAGTCCGTGGTGTCATGGTTCAACCTCTCGGCCATACAGCCAACGAGTTCAAGGCTTATATTGACTACGACCCACATTGACACACTTGAGGTGGTAGACTGACGTCTGTGGTAATATAAGTAGGCTCTTGGCCATACAGTCATTTTAATCAGTTCCCATATAATACTGGGAAGACATTTTATCGAGTACCTCGTGTTTTCCGCTAGAATGTGGTACCCCACACATCCAGCATTTGCACAGGGCCAGGTTGAAATGACCTACCTCCTAAACAACCTACAATGTGTTGAATGTGGTACAAAACTGTCACAGACACTCGAAGGAGACACAAACTCCTATGATAATTCATCGCTATTACTCTCGCAGACAAAAGAGCCGCAATAATTTTATTGGGCAAAAAAAATCTGTCAATGACTTTTGGTCTGCCTGGCACGGACTGAAAATTTGAAGCGAGCGAGCTACCAAAAGTGTTAACTAGATACAATATGTACAAGTGAGGGACCCTTGACAAAATGGTTAGAACTTTCCATAAATTATCAACACTACTAGACCTCCTGTGTTATGAGTACAAAAATATTATGGTTGGAACTTTTCTTGAATTACCAACACTACTAGACCTCCTGTGTTAAGAATACAACAACACACTTGTTATTCATTACGGTGGTAATAGAGGCTTTCATTTCCACACAGCACAGAAAAATTAGAAACTAATTCAGAAATCAACGCACACTTGTCGCGACCTCAGTGCTTTCTTGTCGTATCTCCATTTTTTTAAGCAGTGAAAATGTGACGTCTTCTTAAGCTCAGTCTTTGTTATGAACTGTTTTCACTGTTATTAAAAATGGAGACATGAACAGAAAGCACTGGGGTCGCCATGAGATGAGAACCAAGGAACAATATAAATAATTCACATATTGTAAAGGATTGATAGGCGAAGAAAGATATTAACTTATTTAAATGCTGTTAACATTAACCAAGAATCTTTAAGTAAGTTAAAATAACGACAGGTTTCTTGGGATTGGGAGTATTTTTACAGTTGAATACGACTGAGGAGTGGAAGTTACTGACATAATGTAAGGGGAAAAAAACTTCTGGCAGAATTGCACTCAGAAGCAGAAATGGCTTCATTCGAATCCACAATTCAATCTACTGAAGCAAAAGGAATGTGAAGAGCTGAAATACAAAGGACACTTCATCATTGTTTTGTACTAAATCTCATACAACATTTTAACTCGTTTACATATCACAACAACACAAAAAAAGGAGCCACACTCTTACGTCAACGCTATAAATATCTTTTTAAAGTACAGCCTCTTTCTCTTTCCTGATAAAGAAGTAAAATTATTGAGTAGATGTTTTACGGCACTATCGACACAATTTTG